ACCACTTACAATAAAAATGCAAAATGAAGGAAATAAGGAAACAAGAACAACAACTGTTCAAATCATCAAGCCTTCCCAACATGGAATGTACAGCAAGAATCATGCCGAGGTACCACACCTCATATTCACATTTTACAAGTTACAATCACAATCTTCCTTATATCGCCGCGTAAGCCTTGCATTATATTTTTAAAAAATATTTTTTCCGAAATAGCTACACACGCTTTAGCCCCCTTATCTCACCACGTGGCTTCAAGTAATTCCCTCACGCATATAAATCCCACCTTATCTCTCTGCATGCACATTAATCCCTATCCTTATACCGCTACATGCATATCAATATCACAACATAATAATCAACTTGCACCACACGTGCCCATATGTCATAACATTGCCAAAATTAACAATACTGATGTTACCATAACATATAGCCCAAGGCTCAACCACAATGTGTATAAAATCTCAATAGCAACAAAGGAATGAGAAACAACTCAACAAGGAAAGATATCTCAACCATTAACAACTTCAACCTCAATGTTTTAATAGCTTTCACAACTACAACTTCAATAACTCAACAATGAAGATATTCCCACAAAATGGCAACTTCCAATTCAAGTACATGATATAAGATTAACAATGAAAGAGATAGCATGAGATAGCGACTAAGTCTAAATGCATGAGAATAACTCAACAATGGAAGGAATGGCATGTAACAACTACTACAAGTAAATGCACATAAGAGTAACTTGACGATGGAAACTAGAATATATAATGACAATTCCATTTAAAGCATGTTAGATTAAAATTACCAACGAAAGATAGAACACATAATAATAACTTCAATTAAGTGCTTATAAGTAACCTAAGAGTCTAAATCGGCCAAATATCACATATAAGCCCTATGCATACTCGTCATCTCATGTACACGTCTTTCACATAATTTGAATAGTACAAATAACCCAAATCAGGTAGTTCCTCCCCTCCACAAAATTAGACAAGATACTTACCTCAACTAGGCCAAATCAACACTCAAAAATAGCTTTTCCTTTAAAATTCACCTATGCACGGCTCAAGTCTGACAAAAAATGACTTAATATCATCAAACAATGCAAGAGAAATCAATTTCTATTAATAAAGCTAAGATCTTCACACAATTCCCCAAAATTCAAACAGGAAGAAAAAGAACCCTAGCCGATTTTCTCTCTCTAGACAAGCGACTACTTTCTACAGTGCTACTGCAGTGCCTTTATGGCCTTCAGTCCGCTATTAGGTGGAGGAACCCCCCAGGTTTGTCTCAGAAGAACCCCCATATCACTAAGCACAACCCCCAGGTGGTTTCATCCCAAAATTCCAAGCGAGATGCTGCAGATTCACAAAGTGGGGGCGGGTTCACTGTAGCGAAGCATCGCCTAGAATCGTCAAAAGCTGCCCAGATCTTCGCTAGGCCATTTGACAAACACGACCCACTGGAGATCCTTCTCCACTTCAAACGCTACCACCCAACAAAGTATTATAGCTTTCGACTGTGGGGATTGAGAATTCGATTCCCCCAAATTGGTCGTAACCATAAAGCTGATGGAGAAGTTAATTAAGGTATCCACATAGATCTAAACTAATGGGAAATGTCTTCTGCACATTTGGATAACATCTCTGAGCAAGCAAATCAACACTTCATTGACCCAGTTACCACCACAACAACAAAACCATTACCTGCAAATTCTTCCATCAAAGCAGTTCGACAAAATGCCTCAACCAGTACTACCATTACAAGTGGGATCCAATTGGCTGGAAAAGAACAAATTCATATTGGTAAAAATTGCCGACATGTCCAAGTTCAACCACAAGTTGTGAACGATGGTGCTCGACCAAGTGATGTCCCTTCTACTGTGCTGCTGAATGACCAGAGTGTGCCTGCTCCCTCACATGCCCAAAGATCAATCGAGCAATTCACTGTTGATATGGAGAATGTAGTTGAACCAACTCCTACTGCTCAACCTCATCCAATTCCTTCATCCCCAAGTTTTCCACCATCAGGTATTATCTCTGCAGCCCCTTTGTCTAAAGAACAACTGACTACCAACAATGTTATAGCATCTCGTAAACAAGCAAGAATAATTACTACAACAACTAATATGTTAACCTAGAATGTAAATGCTCCCACACAGCCCCAACTCCCTCACATACCAACACCATCGACCTTTCCTAAAGTATCTACTAGTTTTGATAGCACTCATGCTATTCACATCAAAAACTAGCTACACGCCAACACCAGAACACCAACACTCCTAACTCACCTCCCAAAGATATTCCTCCTCAAGAAAAAGATTACAATCAACACCCAACTTCACCCCTGCATACAAAAATCCTAATACAGCAACCACTTCTAATAAACCAAAGCAACCAAACATCACTGTTGGCCAAACATAACTAGTCCCAGAACATTAAACCAGCTACCCCACCAAATCCAAGTGATAAAACTACCCAACCAAATTAAATACCTTCATACCCTACACCACCACCTCCTACTATCACACAGTCCCTAGCTACCAAGTTACGAGCAAGACAAGCTGCAGAGATAGCTCCAATAGAGTTCACAGCTCCCAGAATAACTACCAAGAAGAGCCAACCAGCTATTATCTTCACTTGAAAGGATTACATGATCACTCTTGAAAACATGTGCCAATATACAATTGTAGGCAAGTTTCTAAATACAATGCCTAGAATGGAACAGATTAGGAGAAGTTTCATTGTCCAAACTGAACTCAGAGGAGGCATTAAGATAGCTCATTTCAGTGCTAGAATAGTTTACATCGACCTAGATAATGAGTATTATCACACCACTGTCTAGACAAAAAGTTCATGTATATTTAGGGACAAAGAATGGAATTACAGTCTTGGACACCCAACTTCAATCCAAATAAGGATACTCCTATTGTCCCTGTTTGGATAGTGATCCCTGAGCTGCCATAGCATTTCTACTATAGGGAGGTCTTATCAGTTCTATTATCTCCTATTGGGAAGGTTCTACAATCTCCTATTGGGAAGGTTCAACACCTGGATCTGGCATCAATGCAAAAAATAAGGGGGAGTATTGCAAAGGTTAAGATGCAGGTTGATTTAACCCAAGACAGGCCCCATCATGTATGGCATGGATTTGATGATGATGAGGATGTTAATGGGAATGGACAGTGGCTGGAGGTTGTGTATAAAGACCTCCCAATTTACTATCTGCACTGCAGGCACTTGGGACATGAAGAGTACTACTACTCCACAAAAAAAAGAGCAAGAAAAAAAGAAGGCTGCTGCAGAAATACCAAACAATAATGAGATCCAAACGACCAACAAACATGAAATATCAAATAGCACATAACACCAACAGGAGCAAATGATACAGGGGCAAGACAAAAACCAGAATGCAAAACCAAATCTGGTGGAACAAGACCAATTAACAGAACAACAAAGCATAACAAACCTCAATGCAATAGCAAAACAACTAACAAAGGACAACAATTCCAAGGATCAATGGAAATCTCAAAAGAAGAAGAATTTCAGAGGTCTCAACTACATAAACAAGCAGCAAAAATTCAAATAGCCAAGTGTTTAAATAGCTGCAGCCCAAATCACCAAGTCAGACCAGATTTCAAATACACAACCCAAACCACACAATGCTCAGCCAAATACCTCAAAAGATGTGAAGGATCCACTACCCAATCACATTGATGTTGTTGCTGAAGGTAATGAAGTAAAGCAATCTGACCAGGAACTACCTATACTAGATCACTCGGGGGAGCCAGAGGGGCTGAGCTCTTCTCAAATCTTGCATACCAGTCCTGATGCACACATTACACCTCTCATGGACCACATAACAAATGCTCCTCTTACTAGAAATTGCCCACTTGCTAAAATTAAAGCATATGTGGTTGATGATTCTGCCACCAAAGAAAAGTCTACTAGTGCAGCTCAATAGAGTAACAGTTCTAGTGGTACTGAATTGAAAGGAGAATCCACAAAGGAGAATACAGTAGACTGGATGCAAAGGAGCTTTGGAATACAAAAACAAGGGCTTAATGTTACCTTAAATCACTCATGCCAGGAAGTACCCTTACAAACATATGTGGAATTACCTAATTCCACTAGAGATGCTACACAATTATGCATTGATGAAGTACAACAGGTTGAGAACAATTCAGAAATAAATACAAGTGCTCTAGTTGGAGTCATACCTATGAAGCAGGGCACTTATGTTGATGCAGATGTCTCACATCATACGACGAGGCCCAAATTACAAACTATTAGTGAACATGAGACCACTATGGAAAATGAACAGATGGAGCTTGCATTAGTACAAAGGGTTTCAGTAGTAACTCCAACAGCTCCCATAGCATGTGCTTCAGAGACTGGATCTCCACTGCAAATACAACTCAATGTACCATTGATATCTCCCAATCAGGTGCTACATGAGATAATCACACACAAAGAACTGCCTATGGAAGTTCATAATGCTTTGGTTAGTAAACAACAACTAGAAGATGAAGGTGATGATGAATCTACTACTGGAAATTTTAAAGCTGTTGCAAGGGAAGGAGACTTGTCACCTAGATTCTCATCAAAAAATGGAAATAAAGTGAAGAAGAAAACACAAGCTAAGGAAACCCTACCACCAATAAGAATCTTGCCCAAGAGGGCAGCATCAATAACTAGATGATGGTTAAAACATTAATATGGAACATCGGATCTCTTAAGACTCAGCAGGCATTTCAAAGAGTCATTAACATGCAAAAACAAAATAGATTTTTCATTGTGGCACTTATGAAGCCTTTTCAAAAGCAAGGGCTAATTCAAAACTACAGGAGAAGGCTCGGTATGGATATTGCAATATCAAATGTTAATGGGAAAATATGGCTATTTATTGATGTGTGGTGGAGTGGGAGTTGCTCATTGACACTGAGTAGCAACTAACAATCAAGGTGTATCATCAAGAAATTGGCAAATACACCATGATGACTTTTGTGTACGCAAAGTGTTCATCTCTAGATAGATTAGAACTGTGGGATAATCTATACTACCTTGCTGCTGATATGGAGCTACCTTGGGTGATTGGAGGGGATTTCAATGTGGTTCTTCATGAGGATGAAAAAATAGGAGGACTTCTAGTATATCCACCAGAGGTTGAAGACTTTTCCTTCTTTGTTAATTCTTGTGGTTTGTTTGACACTGACTACAAAGGAAGCCCTTTCACATGGTGGAATAGAAGATCAAATGAAGAATGCATATTCAACAGGCTGGATAAGATCTTTGTCAATCAACCTTTTCAGATTCTATTCCCAAATATTGAGGCAGAACACCTTATAAGAACAGGGTCTGACCATGCACCTTTGCTGATGAATTGTAGGGAAGAGGCTCAACAGTCTGTTAAACCCTTTAAGTTTCTCAACTTTTGGACTACTCATACCACTTTCACTGATGTTGTAAAACAGAATTGGGTAGCAGACTTTGTTAGAGATCCCTTTCTAATGTTCAAACAGAAACTGAAGAGAGTGAAAACTGCTTTATCCCATTGGAGTAAACTGACCTTTGGTGACATCTTCAAACAGCTTGCCATTAGGGAAGACATTGTCAGGATTAAGGAGATGCTTTTTGAAGAGGAACTAACAATTGAGAATAGAATTGTACTACAACAGGCACAAGTAGAATTGAAGAAGTATCTTAGCTTTGAGGAGCAGTTTTGGAAGCAAAAGGCAAGCATGACTTGGTTTGCTGAAGGTGATAGGAACACCAGATGTTTCCACAATCATGTGAATGGAAAGAGACAGAAGCTGCAGCTCAAAAGAATTCAAAATGGAGTATTTTATTGGAATCACATGACCTTGTGTCTGATGCTGCAGTTGATTTTTTCCACAAACATTTCACACAAGAAGGGGAACTTGCATCCTTTGAATTACTTAACAATGTTCCAACTATGGTAACCATGGAACAAAATATGGAGCTTTGCAGATTTCCTACAATTAAAGAGGTGAATGGTGCAGTTTTTGCATTAGGTGGAGAAAGTGCCAGTGGACCTGACGGTTTTACTGGACTATTTTACCAAAGCTGTTGGGACATTGTAGGGGAGGACATCTTCAACATGCTACAACAGTTTTATGTTGGTGCATCACTACCAAAATCAATCACACATACTAACCTTGTGTTGCTACCAAAGAAACCACAAGTCCAAACATTTTATGATTTAAGACCTATAAGTCTTAGCAACTTTATCAATAAGGTTATTTTTAGGGTACTGCATGACAGATTAGAAACCATATTGCCTTCACTAATTTCCTCAAACCAGTCAGGATTTGTGAAGGGGAGAAGCATATTTGAAAACATTTTGCTTACACATGAAATAATTACTGATATACGGCTGAGATGGAAACCTGCTAATGTTGTGATTAAGATTGACATGGCAAAGGCCTATGATATGGTATCATGGAAGTATCTTCTTTAGATACTAAGGAAAATGGGGTTTGCTGAACACTACATACACATGATCTGGAATTTGCTGGCAAACAATTGGTATTCAGTACTGGTGAATGGTCACTCCACTGGATTTTTTAAATCAACAAGAGGGGTTAATAAGGGAGATCCTCTTTCTCCAGCCCTGTTTATCCTATTTGCGGAGGTTCTGACAAGATCAATGAACAATCTGTTTGACGACAAGAGATTCGTAGGATATGGTATGCCAAAATGGACTGACCCATTGAATCATTTTGTCACGCCCCGAACCTAGGAGCGAAACCAGCACCCGGTGCCTCACCTAATCTGGCGTACCATATTGTGACTAAGGGACTCTGAACATATAATGTCATACTTTGGCCATGGGGCCACCTTGCAAGACAATTTGCGAAGCAAAATATAAAAATGAATGGAAACTAGCGCTAACTAAACATCAATATAAAGCTAGGCCGACAAGGCCGTCATAGCTACTACAGCTGACAAACCACCAATTTATACAAACCCAACATACAACACTAACCAACAGGATAT